TCTGGTGGGTTTTCCATCCACTATCGAAGATAATCGACCATTCATTAAAGCAGAAGACAGCTTGATTTAGACTTGAAGAAGAATTGAAGAAGAATTGAAATCGATCCGCAGACAAAGCCACTCCTCTGATTCTATCAGGCTTCAACCACTTCTTTGGCATTTCGATTATAAACGACAACATCTTCTGAAAATCAGGGTTTAGCAATTGACCCATGATACTGTGCATATTATGCCCACTGGAGTTATACAGAGGGAGATCCGGCAGAATGAAAGGCTCTTCATCCTCATCTAGGGAGAATACTCTTCGACATAAACTTGTAATCACCACAGTATCCTCGGATACTGTTTCAGCTGAAGAACACTGGATAATACGGGTTTGGATAAGATTTTAGTATTTTCTGTGATCTCAGCCACACAAATCTTTGAGGCCAATAGAATGAGACACTCTATTTCAGAAAGAGAGTCCTGAGCAAAAAAAAATGATATTTTAGTGAAATTCGCTCCGATCATGCTCAAAATTACATACCTACACTAAAACTTATATAAAGTAGTATACTGTTATATTTGTATACTTTTTAAGGTTTATTTTTGTTTTATAAAAAGTATCGCTTTGTATTTTAAATGTAATTTCTATAACAAAAATAGTTTTACCTTTGTTATATATATTTATATATATATGTTAATTAAAAAATACATTGATGTGTTAATTAAAAAGAAGATTTTGTTTAAAGTATGAGTAAATGGCAGAATAAAATTTTTATTAGTTTTCTTAATATGAGTGAAAAGAGTAGAATAACATTTACTATGAAATATAGAAAATATAAAGTAATAAATTTTACCGATTTTGAATCAGATTAGTATAAAAATTAGCAAAATTTGAAAAGATAATGATATAATCATATTTTTGAAACTCCTATGATCTCAATAATAAAATAAACTAAAGCATATATAACTTAGGTAATATACTAATATGATTTTTTGTTATTTTAAGTTTATAAATATTCTTTGACTTCTTTTTTAAATTTATTGATACAGCATTTTCTTAATGAATTTTGAAGTGTGGAAAACAATTTTTTATTATATTTTGATGAACACCAAAAGTTAAAACCAAAAAAAATATCTTTATAAACTTATGATGTGTTTGACCCATTTTTTCATTCATCGTCTGAGTGTTTATTCAAATACTGAAACCATAGTTGTTCAAGTATAGAACATAGAAAATTTTCTGTTACGATAGATTGCATCAAACTCCTAATAGAAAGAAAGGATAACTAGATGCACTAAAACAGAGCATACAAATTTTCTATTTTAGCAACTATCTTTCCTTTTTTTTTCTTTTTCCTTTTTATGAATAAGTTGAATATAACCACATATAAAATATCTAAAAGTGTCGGCAAGGACATCACAGAAGTGTCGGCAAGTGACAAAAAAGAAAAAGAAAAAGTGTCGGCAAGCTTGACATTTTTTTTTTTTTTTTTAATTAGCTTGACATTTATAAAACCCTAATTTCTATTACAGCCTTGGAGATAGATGGAGTGAGTGAATAATTTTTTGAGGCCCCGGCGAATGCTTCCACGTGAATACACAACTTGATAATGAAGCAAAAATAACAACTAAATCTGATGTCCACTCAACTTGATAATAAGATTGTTTGTCTGTTATCTAGTAGTTAAGTGATAAGCGACGAATTACATTAAAAATCACGATTTCAGACCACAGATATACATTGGACCAAAGAAGATATACTAACACGTGTTTTTTTATTGCTTTCTGGCGTTATGGGCGGGGTTGGTTAAAAAAAAAACTGAAGGTATGTAAATGGAGTCATAGTATTAATTTTTTTTTTTTACGTGGAAAGAAGCAATATCCGGATTTCACATTTAGGAAGTCTATTTTGATTGGAAGAAGGGATTTGGATCACCTATAAGCACCAATCATAGTATTTAGTCACGTCAAGATATGTGATGCTTTATCATTGTAGTGGCCTATTGTTATGCGTTGCCATGGAGGACAATAGGATCCTGGTTTGGAACCTGTATATGTGTCAAACCAGCTTGTGGATCCAACCGAGAATCGCTTGCCAATGATTAATTATCTTTAGATAGGGCCGGTTCAATTTTTTTATAATTTTTATATTAAAAACATAAATTTGTTAATATTTTGGTTTAATAAATATAATTTTCTTTAAATATATGGTTCATAAATTATCTAAAAAATTGGTGATCCTAACTTAATCCGTTTATGCTCTGGGCCGGACTGCATAGCCGTATCAATATTTATTGATGCCTTAAATAATGAAAAATATAAAGTCCACGTCTGTCTACAAAAATAAAACATTTATAATAATAAATAGCATCATAATCTAACGTATAAAACTATTAAATAATTTTTTTGGTAATCTAAATAATTTAAACTTAACCCAAAACCTAACAAATCTAAACTAGAATATAGTTTATCACTTAGTTCTGTCATTTAAAATACATATAGCAAATACTTCTAACAAAAAGAAAAAAAAATGCCTTCTAAAGAATTTAAGGCCTTACACCAATGTTTCTTTTTGTATTAAGCAAGCACAGCTCTGGACAGCGACAACAGCCACAAAATGCTGAGGTGTTTCGAGGGCAATGTAAAGCAAGGAAACACTGTTTTGCTTATGAAAGATTAATCAATGATTATGATGAGTTTTTTACAATGTTTTTGAGTTAACAAGAAAGAGATTTTTTTACTTGCGGCAAAAATTTTGCACTACCCTCTCGCTCTCAATAATGATGTTACGGAAGAGAAGCTTGCAGTGTCATATATTGAGACATCAGGTTTCGAATTTACTCATAAACCATATATTTCCATAAATTGATATATCATCTCTTTTTCTTTTGTTATCATCTTCTTTGAATAAGACTAAGCCATTAATTGAAATTAGGTAATGTATTTATTCATAAAACCCCTATTTTCGTTCCTCTCATCCCAAAATGTTGTCTTTAAACAGAAAGACAAGCGGTTGGTGCCTGAGTTGATGGCTATCTTTAGTGGAGATCGACCGTTGAACAATGAATGATTAATATGATTGAAGATTGTTTATTCTGTTAGTTTTAGATTAATTGGTGAAGCTTTTGATGTTCAACAGTAGAAGACCATTTGTTTATGAGCGTTCGAAACTCATTTAAGCTTCTGTAATTTCAATTTTGACCGGTTTGCTTCTACTATGCCATATTGCCATAAACGTTTTCCTTCTACTATGAAGGACAGAAGCAACACCCCACTTGAACAATCTTCACAGTCCAAATCTATATGCCCAGATAAGGCCCACTATTGTTATATTAGGTCATGAGAAGAATCGTAAACGAAATTAGGGTTGATCTTTTTTAACTAAAACCCTCTGGAATTTTTCTGGTTCTTCTCTTGTGTTCCTTTCGGTTATCATATTTGCATTGTCATGTTCTCTCTGGTACTACATGGGAAGAAGTCTATCGAGTTACGGATATGCCATAATTCGAGAATTCTAGTGAAGCTTTATCAAAATGCATCTGGTTTTTCTAGTTCGTCCTCCTCTGTTATTGCTGCTGCTGCTGATGTGAGTCCTCCTCAAGTTCGTCGAAAAGTGAAGACTTTTAGTGTTTCTGTTTAGTGTTAGAGAAGAGAAGCTTGCAGTGTTGTATCAGCGCTTGAGCGCATATAAGATGGAGATATGGATTACGAGTAAGAGTGAGCCTAACGTGATGGTATCGTGGAACAAGTTCTTACCCTTTGATATGGAATCAGTCACTAGATTTGTGGTTGAAAAAAGTTCTCTCATCCCATATGAGTTTCTGAAAGCCAGTTTTGACTTTTTGTATTCCCCATTTTCACCCCAATTTCTATAATATGCAATCTTTAATTGGTAAAACAACAAAATTGTAATATGTTTTTTAACCATTCCTTCGTTGTCTTTGATTCATGCATCCATGTTGTTTCACATTCAAGCTGAAGATGAAGATGGATGCATTACAAACAAGCTTTCATTTATGTAACCTTTGTGTTTTCTTTCTAACTGTTAATCAAAATTAAATGGAAACAAATATATTTTTATGATGAATAAAGTAAAAGAAAATAAGTTTTGGGGATTTTGACAAAGAACCTATAAATAACATTATTTTGTAAGTTTATGTTTTTTTCTGAAATCAAGTGGAACTTCAAGCTCTGAGATCACTGAAATTGTTTCTAAAGTTCCAAAAATCTTGGAACTCAAGAAGAACATAACTACCATTGGATTCTATGACATTATAGTAGATGAAATTCATATCAATATTTCTCATTGCATAAGCTAGAGAATAGTATCAAAACATATTGGTTTTGAGAAGATTTGAAGAATCTTTGGATCAATAAGGTTAAACACATAGCTTTGATCCAACTGCCTTAGATTTTTGTAGAAGCTCTGCCTACGCATTAAAGCTGTTTATAAAAAGTAATAATCAATATTTTTAAATAATAGGTATTTGCTAATAAATATATAGTTATTTTTAAGTTCGAAGGTGTAAGAGTTTATTAACATTTACATAAAGTAAATAAATAGCGTTTTACATAGCAATTAGCAATCTGATCCGCTGTAGCACAAAGGCTAATTTCTGAAATCACGGTCGCAATTTAATCAGTATTTGATCCTCCAGAAATCCGGGCTCGAATCCCGGCAGCAGAATATTTTTTTTTGTATTATATACATATAACGATATGTCGTTGGCTCCTAACTGAGCCAATTAAAGCAGAACTGAACCCTAGAAGTTGTCGAAAGTGAACGAAACCCATAGGCCCAAATAAGGCCCACTATTATGATATTTGGGGGATTATGAGAATCGGAAACAAAATTTAGGGTTTATTTTATCATCTAAAACCCCCAACTTTCGATTTCTTCTGTGAAAAATTTCTGGTTCTTCTTCTCCTCTGTTCCTTTCGGTGATATCATATGTTGCATTGTCATGTTCTCTCTGATACTCCATGGCAAAAAGTCTAGCGAGTTGCAGAAATAGCGTAATTCGAGAATTCTAGTGAAGCTTTTTCAAAATGCATCATCGGCTTTTTCCAGTTCGTCCTCCTCTGTTATTGCTGATGTGAGTCCTCCTCAAGATCTTCGAAAAGGGAAGACTTTTACAGTCTCTTATCTCGTTGATTCATTGGGTTTAACCACAATACTCGCAGAATCGATCTCAACGAAAATCAGCTCCGAGGGAATGTGTAATAATCCTGATTCCGTTCTGGGTCTTCTTAAAAGCCATGGCTTCACAGATTCTCAGATCTCCACCATCATCAAGAGCTATCCACGGCTGCTTGTAGAAGATGCTGAGACATCTCTTGCTCCCAAGCTTCAGTTTCTGCAATCCAGAGGAGCTTCAACCTCAGAGCTCACTGAGATTCTTACAAAAGTTCCCAAAATCTTGGGAATCAAAAAGAACAAAGCCATCAAAAGCTGATAAGACTTCCAAGTTGGAAAAGCTATGCCATTCTTGGCCACAAGGTACTAAGCATGAGAACAAACTCAGAAACATATCGGTTTTGAGAAATCTTGGCGTGCCTCAGGAGCTCTTGTTCTCCTTGCTTACATCCGATGCACAGCTTGTTAACGGAAAAGAAAAATTCGAAGAGTCGCTCAAGAAGGTCGTTGAGATTGGTTTTGATCCAACCACCTTAAAGTTTGTCCAAGCTCTGTGCGTTTTTTACTCATGGAAGGAGAAAACGATACAAGAGAGAGTGAATCTCTACAAAAGGTCAGGCTTTGATGAGGGAGATGTATGGGAGATGTTCAAGAAGTGTCCCTTCTCTCTGACACTCTCTGAGGAGAAGATAACTCAGTCTTTCGAAACCTTCAAGATGTTTGGACTGCTCGAAGACGAGATCTGCTCTGTCTTCAAACGCTTTCCTCCGTGCATTGGATCATCTGCAGAGACTGTGAAGAAGAAAACTGAGTTTCTGGTTAAGGAGATGAATTGGCCAATAAAGGCCGTGATTGTGTTCCCTCATGTATTTGGATACAGCTTTGAGAAGAGGATTGTACCGAGGTGTAATGTAATCAAGGCTCTCATGTCTAAAAGATTGCTCGGAAGTGAACTTCCTCCAATGTCGTCTGTTTTGTCGTGTACTGATCAGATGTTCTTAAAAAGGTATGTGACGAAGCACGATGACAAGGAGCTTGTGCCTGAGCTAATGGCTATCTTGAACAGAGCTCATCCTAGAGCAATAAGCAACGTTTAAGGGCTTTGTTATCTGTTAGTTTTTAGACTAATAGTGAATCTTCTCTAATCTTAGATTGATCTGTATCTACAATCACTAGCCTTCGGATTCAATCTGAGAAAGTATTTTCGTTGACGAGGAGAAGAAAGTGGCAATGCTTTGTGATATACGCACATTTCAATAGACCAACAAGACTTTTGGTTGTATGGTTGGGGCAGAGTAGTTGAATCTCGCTGGAAGAGCTTGTGCTCTTATTATGTTCAAAGCTCATGTGCATTAGTCTATCTTACAATACCTTGTTTGTATGGTGTATCATCTCTCTTTTCATCTTTTTTTTGTTTTTTTGTTATCACCCTCTTTCAACAAGACTAGTCATAAACTGAGACATTAGGTTTTGAATTTACTCATAAACCATATAATTTCGTTGACCTCATCCCAAATTTTGATTTGATTTCTTGGTTTGGTGTATCTTGGTCATGGTGTTCCTTGTTTACTGTTACAAACAATGTCTTTTAGTTCATTGGCATTTGAGTGTAAGGAATTTCAAGCCTTTGATGTTTACTTTATAATAGTTGGTGTGTAAATTTATTGGGTTTGTTTGTAATGTATGAAAGAAAGAACCTGGTTGTGCTAAAATAGTCAAATTAAACCAAAAAGAATAAATTATTAAGAAATTAATTTACCCTCCTTTTTAAATCGAAAACAATGCGTGCGTGCGTGCCCACAAAAATGTATGTGGGAGGTAAGTGGTTCAAACCCAAGCTATCACGGATCTCTGTATAATTAATATTATTATCAAATCAACAGCCGAAAAACTCATAAACCCTATATTCGTTTCCCTCTTCTAATTAATATTATTATCAAATCAGCAGCCGGAAAACTCATAAACCCTATATTCGTTTCCCTCTTCCCTGCGATTTTTGGGGATGAGTCAGAATTTTCTTCTTCTCCTCTGAATAGATAGTTCGATCGATCTCAATCGCTTCGACACTCTGGTACTGATCAGATGTTCTTAAAAAGGTATCTGATGAAGCACGATGACAAGGAGCTTGTGTCTGAGCTAAATATTCACGTTTGTAAACCAAAATATTCATCAGTTATAAAGTGTATTGAATATAAATCTAATCTAATCGTCATTTTGAAACGCTAATCTTAGTTTCTCTCTATGACCAATCAATATGACAAGAGGAAGACAGATCAAGAACGAACACACTGTGGTTCTTGCTGTGAAATAAACCATTCAACGGCTAAGAAAGTTGATTAATTTTTGATAACCAATCACCACCAAACCAATAGTAATTTAATGAACGAAACAGTGTACCAAATAATGAACCGGTAGTAAACCAATTTGTCCTTAACCGGGTCCAGAACTAAACCCTAAAAACCCGTTTTCTTCCTTCCCCAAATCTCTGCGATTGAAATGAAGTCGTGAACGGAGAGATGCAGATTCTTGAACAGTCGACCATCTCATTGAGTGATTCTTGTGATTTTTGAGAAGTTTTGAGATTTTGGCAACGAAGCCTGAGCGAAGCGTTTTCTCGAAATGAGATTGAGCATCGAAGCCTCTACTCTGTGGAATTCTCTGCTTCTCTTCTCCTCCTTTCGGTAATTACATTGCCTTGACATCATGTATTCTCTGATACACCATGGAAAAAGGTCTATCGAGTTACAGAAATGGTGTAATTCGAGTGTTTCAGTGAAGCTTGTGCACAATGTATTCTCTGCTTTCTCCAATTACTTCTCCTCTGCTTCTACTGTAAGCCATAAGGATGGTCGAAAAGGGAAGACTTTCACTGTCTCTTACCTCGTTGGTACATTGGGTCTAACTACAAAACTCGCGGAATCAATATCGAGGAAAGTCAGCTTTGAGAAAAAGGGCAATCCAGATTCCGTTCTGAATCTTCTTAATGGTTATGGCTTCACAGATTCTCAGGTCTCCACCATCGTCACGAGTTACCCAGGGCTGCTTATGTTAGATGCTGAGAAATCACTTGGTCCCAAGCTTAAGTTTCTGCAGTCAATGAAAGGAGCTTCGAGCTCTGAGTTCACAGAGGTTGTCTCTACAGTTCCTAAAATCTTGGGAAAGAAAGGGGAAAAATCCATAAGTGAATACTATGATTTCGTGAGAGATGTTATTGAAGCCGATAAGTGTTCAAACTACGAAAGCTTGTGTCTTTCTTTGCCACAGGGTAATCTAGAGAACAAAATCCGAAATGTGTTGGCTTTGAGAGACTTAGGCGTGCCTCAGCGTTTGTTGTTCCACTTGCTCATCTCAAATTACCAACCTGTCTGTGGCAAAGAGAGGTTTGAAGCTTCTCTCAAGAAAGTGGTTGACAAGGGCTTTGATCCAACGAGCTCAAAGTTTATGCAAGCTCTCCACGTTGTGTACCGAAGTAGTGACAAAACGATTGAAGAAAAAGTCGATGTCTATAAAAGGCTAGGCTTCGCTGCGGGAGATGTATGGGAGATGTTCAAGAAATGGCCTTTCGCTCTGAAGTTCTCGGAGAAGAAGATAACTCAGACGTTTGAAACCCTCAAGAGGTGTGGTCTGCTCGAGAACGAGGTCATGTCATTGTTGAAGAGGAATCCTCAGTTCATACGCATTTCAGAGGAGAACATAGTGAGCTCTGTTGAAACGCTTACAGGTCTAGGATTCAGCAGAGACGAGTTTGCGTTGATGATCAAGCGCTATCCTCAGTGCATTGGCTTTTCTGCAGAGACGGTGAAAAAGAAGACCGAGTTTCTGGTGAAGAAGATGAAATGGCCACTAAAGTCCCTGGTTTCGCATCCTCAGGTGTTTGGATACAGCATGGAGAAGAGGATTGTACGGAGGTGTAATGTAATCGAAGCTCTCATGTCCAAAGGATTGCTCGGTGACGGAAGTGAACTCACTCCAATGTCGTCTGTTTTGGCGTGTACTGATGAGACGTTCTTAAACAGGTATGTGAGGAAGCACGATGACAAGGAGCTTGTGCCTGAGCTGATGGCCATCTTCACAAGAGTTCATAAGGCAGGCCTAGAACAATGAGCAACGTAGGTTTTGTTTTTTTATTAGTTTTAGATTCATGGTGACATGTATCTCTTGATGGAGAAATATAAAAAAAAATCCTAATTTGTGAAACTCTTTTCGTGTGCTGGGAATGCTGAGATAATCAATGAATTAATCATCAAGTTTGTGGCCAAAATATTCATCAGTTTTTTAGTGTATAAATATCCTTAATTAACAAAAAACTCATTTTGAAATGCTAATTGTTGGTTTTGATTGCTAAGCTGCTGAATAATGCTAATATTTAGTTTTGATTGGTAAGTTGTGGAATGATGGAACTGCTTCGTGAACATGGCTCCTGTTTTCAGGAAACAAGTTCAAATTTATGGGATTAGATGCTTCTTCTTTGAGATTGAGACATAATCTTAGTTTCAAACAACTCATGAAGACTAGTTTGAGATTCTGTCTAGAATTTAAAATTTGTGAATGTAGTTCCTAAATTTTCTAATAATTACCGAATTCTTTTAGAAGTCCATGTTTATAGATAATACAGAATACTTTTAGGCCTGGATTAATCTAAGATAAAGAGTGTAAAAGCCTTTTAAAATTTATATATAATATATAAATAAAGGTTTACATATCAAATGACAATTAAATCCGCTGTAGCACTAAGGCTAAATTTGTAGAATTGTTGGGCGCAATATACACACACACGTGTGCGCTCGTCCGATTCCGGGTTCGAATCCCGGCAGCGGAATTTTTATTTTAATCGAAAGGAAAATGGATCTGCTTTTGCGTTGTTACATCGGTTTCTTAAAAATCCAAACCCATATAAGGCCCACTATTGTTGTTGTAACCCAAATAAGGCCCAGTCTTGTTCTTTTGTTCCTTTCGATAACCCAGTTAAGGCCCACTATTGTTACGTATGCAATACAAATCCGCTGTCTACAAATAAATAAAGTTATACACGTATGAGATCGTATTTTCACTCACTGATATCACCGGAGCTCTTGAAACTGAAGTTATCATTACGTTTGTAGCCTAACAATCATCATCAGTTTTTAGTTTTTAGTACATTACTTTGATATTCGTAACTCCCAGAATCTATAATTAATAACAAAAAACGTTACTCTTAAACGTTACTTTTTGTTTCTATTCTATAATCAAAGATAGTGAAGTCGTTGGTAATGCTGCTCTTATTCTATGCGGTGTATAGACTGAATCAATCTCAGCAGAAACAATAAAAGAAAGAAAGTTTAATCTTTGACTCCCTTGTCTTCTCTTTCTTTGATTAATAAATACAAGGTTTTATAGCAACAACCACCAAATGCCATTTAAGAGCAGAGGAGGAGGTATTGGGGATCACTATTTTTCTCCAAGAAATGTCCTTTCGAGAAACTTGACATTGTTCTTGTGCCTCGCGAGCTTCTGCCTTGGAATGTTCTTCACTAACAGGTAAAATCTACAAACCCCTTTCATGGCATTTTGATTGTCTTCTCAGATGATTATAAAAAAAGTTCTTAAATCTGGTACGTAACGTCTTTTTATTGATTATATATATGACCTAGAAATGTCATTTTCAAATTCTGATCTGATTTACTGGATTTCGTTTTTTGTTTCCTTCTTTTTATCTTTTTTTTGAAGTGAAGTTTGTATTTTTGGTATATGAAAATGTGACGTTAGCTAATGGTCATTGTAACAGGATATGGACAATGCCTAAAGCTAGAGATGTTACCAAGAATCTCCAAGCTCGAGAACTCGCAACTAAATCTAATATCCGGTGATAGCGAGAACTTTAATGCTAACAAAAGTATCGGGTATAACTTATACCAAGCTATGTAATGTTAGCTTGATGAGTAAAAATTTGATAGATGATGTTATATATGTCAAACGGATATAACAGGACCTTGGATAAATCTATTTCAAGCTTAGAGATGGAGTTAGTTGCAGCTAGATCAGAGCGCGAGTCTTTGTTAGGAAAGTTTAACATTACGAAACAGACTCAGAAAAGAAAATACTTTATGGTTATTGGGATCAACACTGCCTTTAGTAGCCGTAAGAGACGAGACTCGGTTCGCGCAACATGGATGCCACAAGGTAATATATGAAAGCTGCTTGCTCGGTTTTCTTGATTTTAATTTCTTTCTCAAGGTTTAAAAACATTTTTCGGTTTAGGAGAAAAGCTTAAAAGGCTCGAGGAAGAGAAAGGCATCATCGTACGCTTTGTTATAGGTCACAGGTATTTATCTAGAGAGAATATTGTTTTTTTTTTCTCTCAAAGAATGAGATATCTTTAAATCTTTTATAATGTTTCTTAAATTTCTCCCTTAGTACGTTGTTTGCTGGGATTCTTGACAAATCTATTGAAGCTGAGGAGAAAACTTATGGGGATTTCTTGAGACTGGTGAGTTTTTTTGTTAGCCCTAATTGATTGGATTATTGCTTCTTTTTATTCTTCTTTCTTTCTTTCATTTGTTTTGCGCTTTGAAACAGGAACACACCGAAGGGTACATGAAATTATCAGCCAAGACAAAGACCTTTTTCGCAACAGCCGTTTCGTTATGGGACGCTGAATTTTACATCAAAGTCGACGATGATGTTCACGTGAATCTTGGTAAAATAAAATCATTATATATCAATATAGAAGTGTTCTGAATGAACCTTTCTTTGTCCAATTTTATAATATATGATTCTGCAGCAACACTCGGGATGACTTTAGAAGAACATCGCAACAAACCTAGGGTTTATGTAGGATGTATGAAATCCGGACCAGTCCTAGCCAGAAAGTATAAGTCCAAAGACGATTATACTTTAGAGGCAAGTTTCTAGATAATTTTATGTGATAATTAAAGTAGTCTAAAGTTCTCATCTTTAACCGTGAAAATAGAAACGTGAAGTACCATGAACCGGAGTATTGGAAGTTTGGGGAGGCTGGGAACAGTTATTTCCGACATGCAACGGGACAATTATACGCCATTTCTAAAGATCTAGCGACTTACATATTGATAAATCAGTAAGTTCTTCTCAAGTTTGTCGAGATTCGCAAGAGAAATCTCTTAATCTTTTGACTTTTTTCAATTTGGTTTTAGGAACTTGCTGCACAAGTATGCGAATGAAGATGTTTCATTGGGTTCATGGTTCATAGGTTTAGACGTAGAACATGTCAATGACAAAATACTCTGTTGCGGAACTTCTGGTATACAAAAAGCCTATTTTTTATGAGTATCATCAAACAATAATTGTCCGGTTTAATCCGGTATGGGTTCAAATTTCCGGTTTTTCACATTTATAACATCGATTTTTTGTTTCTTTATCTTGAATATCAGATTGTCAGTTGAATGCACCGACGGGAAATGTATGTGCGGCGTCGTTTGACTGGCAATGCAGCGGAATTTGCCGACCGGTCGAGAGAATGGTCGAAGTTCACCGACGCTGCGGTGAACGCCGAGATGCGTTATGGAGTCCCGATTTCTTGAAAGTATAGCAAACAGTTTTGTTTCCATAGGGTGTTGTTGAATGTAACAGTTTTGTTTCTAACTTGAGAATGCTTTTTTTATTTCTACATTTGATATTATATTTGATTGTTTTTAAAATAACTAGGAATATGACTCTGTTTTGCGGGGTTAATCTGTGATATATTAAAGCTTTTTATTTTAATTAACAAATTTTTGATTTTTGAAGTTAAGTTTGAGACATTCATTTTAGTTTATTAATTTTATTTGCTAAACACACATATAAAAAAAATAATGAAAATGATCATATTTTTATTTATATATAAAATTGAAAGGACATAAAATAGTAAAAAAAAAATACAATTTTTATTAAATAAACGGTTATAACAAAAAATTATCTAATAAACACTGAAAAATATGAACTTTCTTTATAGTTGTGAAAAAATTATAATAAAAAAACACAGCAATAATTGATATTTATTCAATTTTAAAATACAATTTTTTAAAATAAATTAGTAGTTATAAACAAAACCATAATGAAAATTTAAATATTAATAACAGACGGATATAAAAAAAAATATAATTAAAATACAAAACTTATCTGAATGTTATGAGATACCCCCACGAATAATATCTGATTTTATAGTGATTCTTAATAGCATTGTTGGAAAACGACTATATATTAAAATTTATACTATTTTTTATTTATTTATAGTAAACCGTTTAAATAAGACACTTTTATGATAGAAAATTATAACAAGAAAGTAAAAATCATTATCAAATAATTTTTATGTGGTTTGAATAATATAAATAATTTAAAAAGACACAAATTATTTGTGATGAAAAAATACAATAATTAATAATTAAAAGAACGCAACCATTTATATTGAAAAGGTGCAACCACGAGTTTTGAAACCACACAACTTATCATAATGCAAATAGTCTATCAAAACACAACCCGTGAATTATTAGATTATATTTCATAAAAAAAGAATGCTGACATAAAAAAATTTCAAGATTTCACAGTTTATTGTAATAATAATTCCACTATAGTAAGAAGGTAAAAGTTAGACACAAATGATTTATTTTCTGTGATTTTGGAGCAATATAAATAGTTTTGAAAAGACACAAATAACAGTTGTGATAAAAAAATGCAACCGTTTATAATGAAAATATGCAATCATTTATAATGAAAAGATGCAACCACAAATGTTGAAATGGCACAACTTTTTAAAGTACAAATGGCATTTATTCGGATTGTTATTCCTACTTATGACTCGATCTATGTGTTAAGTTATATGAGATTCCAATCTAAAACCAATTGGCAGTAAGTGGATTGGCTCATGTTCTTTATATATTAGTTAAGATCCCTTTCAACTTCCGATGTGGGATATTATCTCTAATACGCCTCCTCGAGACAATGGCTACTTTGGCCATTGATCTCGGTAATGTTTGGGCAAGGATCGACATACCATCTTTGGGTCACATATCGATTATGGATCGGATTGGATTGTTTGGATCGGGCTCTGATACCATGTTAAGCTATATGAGCTTCTAACCTAAAACCAATTGGCAGTAAGTGGATTGGCTCATGTTCCTTATATATTAGTTATCATGCTCTCCTATTTAACATTTTTTAAAATGATTGAACTGATATTAATGACACATTATGATCATAGGGCTTAAAAACAAACTTGTACCAAGTTATGATTTTTTATTAAAAAGTTGTGACTTTTCTTGTAGATACCTAATATTTCATTTGAAAGAACTTGTATCTATGAACCACTTTTTGAACATAATTCTAATTAGTTAGAACACGCTAATAATAGTCATAATAATAGTCACAACAAAGAGAAAAGCTACAAACAACTTTAGTTAGCCAATATAAAATTGTCATATATATATAATTATTATTTAAAATAGAAAACTATAATGATATACAAATATCATAACCAAATTGTATAATTGTTTTGGTGTAGTCGAGACATAAATTTTTTTCATTGCCGTATAACATTCTTTATAACTATCAATTAAATTATTTGATGTAAATGCATCTTTAAAACTACTATGAATTTTATATTTCTTTGCAAAAAAAACATAAACCATTACAGTAAGAAAGTAAATACCGAATCCAAATGATTTTGGTTTTTGATTTTTGGTTTTGAGCAATATAAATAACTTTGAAAAGACACAATGAAAATACGCAACTATTTAGAATGAAAAAACACAACCAATTATAGTGAAAAGATGCAACTATTTATAATGAAAAAAACACGACTATAAAAATTTTGAAAAAACACAGTGCAATTGATATTTTTTCAGATTGTTATTATATAGATACACTATTTCACATTAAACTGCTTTCTTTTTCTTTGTTAACAAAGAAAGGCATACTTTATGTACATAATCTTCATTAGTCATGTATGATAATTTTATTAAAATTTATCCAATTTATTAATTTAACTCGAAGTAAGGTATTTACTATTTATTTTATTTTTCAAAATAGAATTTTAAGTTAAAAATAAGTATAACAGATAAAGTGGAAGTGCTTTTAATGGAGGCAAACAAATTAAGAAGGGAAAGAGAGAGAAACCAAATTTTTTTTGTTACATTTGGTTTGTCCTATAAGAGACAGAGCTCTTATTGTTGTGCCCATTCATTTATTTCCACATGCTTTCATTTTCTTTCTCATTAAATTATCTTTTGCCTTACTGTTTCTTTTTGACTTTCCTATTTTTATTTTCTACTTTATGGTTATTTTTCTGAAAATTATTTTATATACAAAATTTACAGTTATTGATGAATATCAGTGATCAATACGATAAACAACTTGTATGTAACTTGAATTACTCTTCCAAGATCAAGAAAGCTGCAAGATCTTCCATTAGTTTCGTTACTTATTAAAATGATAAATTTACAAATGAAAAAGTCCCAAACCAGTATCATGTAATATATATAGTTTTGTCAATATTCCATTAAATCCGTCTCGACAAAAATTTAAGGTTTTGGTCCTAAACTCGTGGGTATTCTGTGAGATGTAATAAAGATATGCGGCCACTTCGCAGGTTTTTGTTGGTATTGCATTTCTGTTATGTATTTTGAAAATAATAATAGTTCTTATAAATTATCAGTAGTGCAATGGACATAACCTTTTTTTTTAATTGATTCTGACGGTTGTGAAAAAGTATATTGTAATTTTTTTTTGCTAGATAACTTAGAACTTGTACAATTTTATTTATGTAATTTTATTTAAAGAGAAGTTTGTAACTTTCAAAAACAATCTTGATGCATATTGAACTATAATTATGATAGACCATAGTTGATTTCCTTTTAAATTGATATTAATTAGTGAACTGAGGAAAATAAATAAACTAAAATAGACTATATATATTAATGTATCATATTTATTTTTAATTGTTTACGGGTTCGGTCCATTGTTTACGTTGGTTTGATCATTCGCTAGGTTTTGAAATTTTTTCTCTCGCTCTTACTAATTTCATAGTTTGTGTGTATAACCAGCACGCTAACGAGCATAATCGAATTGAGTTGGAAAAAGGGTGTAAACGAATTAGAAGTGCAGAGAAATACAAATAATATAGATTCTAGTCGGCTATCTTTGGATTGATAATGAGCGACAATAATATATCCCAAGAAAAAACATTCCCCTTCGATAATTCGGTACAATTTTTTTTTTTGTTTAATCATAGTCTAAATATCTTCTCGCAAATGTATTTGATATTCATTTCTTCCCATTTTGCAGTTATTATCTCCAGAGCCTGCAGTAGATAAACATGAATCTTAAAAAAATCTTTAAATAATACTTGTTTAATGACATTGTCTTTTCGCAAATTAATGATTTATTAATTTATTATATAGAAACGTAACATGAGAAAGAGCGTGATCCTCGACGATAGACAATTAGACATCGATACTATCTGCAGACTACAAATAGAGAATTAATTATGCGTCAAATATCCATAAACATCTTGGAGAATCGACATAGAGTGATAGAGATATATCATATATTACCTTGAACACCAACTAAAGATGAAAGGCTTATAAAACTCGTGATATTGGCACGGCTCAATCAAACAAACCGATCTCTAAAGAAAAAAAGAGTTCGGTTTTCAGATTGAACCGCACCAATATCTCGTATTGCCTTTACATCAGTTAAACCCTCTCATGGGTTGCTTATTATCCCCAAACTCCACATCTAAAACCAAAGCAAAAGAAATCAACGGAGGTAAATAATTGAAAACGTACCTTGCAAGAGAGGGTACTTACTCTTAAACCGGCTTATAAATTACGGTTTTTCCTTCTTCTATTGTGCAGAAATGGAAAAGAAGAAAGACAATATGAGCTATTGCAATTATATATATATATATATATTTTTTTTTTTTTTTCTTTTGGGGTTTGGAGAGCGAAAGAAGATATAAATACGAAGAGGTGAAGAAGAGAAGCCAAAAGAAAAACAAGCATTGAATTAGGCCAACAACCCCCACAACAAAAAGGAAGTTGGTTGTATTGAATTTGAAAAATATTTATTTTTAGTAGAAAGTTTTCTTTACAAATTTTAATATGTATATGTTTATGTGTAATTTAACATAATAAAATATCAAATTAAGTGGGGTGTGTCTTTTACTAAACAAAAATAGATGAGCTTATTTGCTCACATAACTTTCATTGAACTAACCACTACTAAGAATTTGATGATGATTAGTAAAGCTCTGATTTATAAAAGTCGCTAAGAAAAAAAGCTAAACCATTTCTTTTAAATATACAAGTTATTAGACAAATAATTAAAGTGGTGTGTACTAGGTGGGAATTTCTCATGATACCGTTACCATCATGTGTTATAGAATTAATAGAAAAGTAAGACGAATTAATTAAATTCCTTTGCAAATACATTATCATAAATGTATAGCAAAATATCTAATCAAAAGTCTTAACTCAAATTTGCGATGGTTAAAACCACTACTGTTTTGTGATGGGTTTTCTTCTCTTCGACCAAATATTTAGCGCAAAATTCGTGTTAGAAATAGCAAAATGCAATATACATCGCACATTCATAACGATAAAATATGTCCAATATATCTTAACTAAGTTGTGAAACTTCAACATGGATGAATTCCGTTGATAGTTTAAATTAATTTAGTTTTACTGTATACAGTATGTAGTTTTTTTTTTATAACTTTAATTTATTTTGCAACTAATTGCATTAACTTTATAAGATCCCATCGTTGTGAAACTTGTGATGCAATATTCAAAGGGTGGATATCAACATTTGACTATCAATTCGAAAAGTCAGAAGGCTTTGCGTTCCCTACTCCCGCCGCAGGACTAGTTCGGTTTTCCACACTAATGCACTAGATCTCATCAGAAAATATTGTTTGTCTATATGTTCACTTATACTATAGTTTAAAGATTAATTTTGTGCTTAGCAAGTTATACTTTTAGATAATGATATATCTTTCTGCTTATTACCGAGTTTTTCGGGCTACTCATATAAATAAGAACTTAGCCTACCATGATGATGGGACGTTGGTTGATGAACGATAAAAATGATGTTTGCAATAAAAAAAAATGGAGATGAGAATGTCGAATCTCATACACCAAAGTGAAATGTTGCAGTATACAATCTATATCGGAGTAATATTCGGTAGAAAGTAATTATTTAATTTAGCGACTACATAGACATATTTAAAAATAAAACAACCTATAATAGCCATTGGAGTAATATTATTTTCTACAGCTGAAACATGTATATTGCCTCGATCGAAGCTAAAATCATGACACAGTCTTACTCAAATGAATCCATGAGGTTTGTGCATAAGATTAGCCACTTACTTTTTATAATTTTCGGTACGTTGCATGTTTTTCTTTCATTCATTTGTAATGCTATTTATCCCTTTTTGTGTAATATTTGTTTCTCCTTTCAAATTAGTAAGTTAAGCCTTTAATTTTTTTTTTAAATAAATATTTAAATATGTTATGATATATGACTATAGAATGTAGTTTGATGATTTGTATAAGAATTATTTTTGCCTCATTATTCCAAATTTAAATATAATAGGATACATATTAATATAACTACACCCAAGAAGAACACAATATCTCCAAGATACACATGTGGGTGTATATATAGTGTATGTATAAGTTTTTAAGATAAGATTTGATAAAGGAACAAGGATCCCATGAGCTATCAATTGGTATTTATGAGGATTTGTAAGAGAGACAAAGGCATGTTGGTGGGCTCTGCCACTGCCAACAACATCTATTTAAATTTTGAAACCAATGTGGTTTCATTTTCCAAATATTCCTGTTTTCATAGTTTTTTCTTGACTATAAGTTCCACTTCATTTTATTTTTAATGAAAAACACACAAATGTTTAATACCCACCGATACAGAGAAAGATACTGTGCATGTACATTAAAGTTTTATAAACTTCGGTCTTTTGGATGGTTTATAAGACTTAAATGTAAATGTGCATTACCTTCCTCTTAGCATTTTATAGTTGGACATTACGCTGGATGATATGAATAATCGATTTTGTTCATAGTGAGGATGATGTGATCTGATTGATTTTGAGTTTTTTTTTTTAAATGAGAAAATCTTAAATCCTGCTGAAGAAAATCCCAAAACAATCAAAATAACATTGCTGAAGATAATCCAACAAACAGAGTGTGAAGTTGAGATCCTAAAAGTTGATGCAAAATCAGTAGGTTTCATATACACAAGCATTCATCAGTTACTATTTTATTTTATTTCACCAGCTTTCAACTTTTAAAACGGCTCCAAGATTTAAATAGATGGAGTTATATTTACATAACTTAATTGATAAAAATAGTCATGAACAAATTATATATATTTGTCTTTTGCAGTTTGCACACATAGGATGAAGTATTCATCGAAGTATATCATCACATCATAAGTGTATCAAATATACAAAAATGTTAAAATGTTATTTACTAAATAGTTCAAAAAAATCACGCTATATAAGTATTATCAAAATTGCAAAACATAAAATTTCAATTTTCAACCAATTTTACTTTTCAATTTAAAAACATTAATTTAATTTTCAAATGTTGATTACTTGCCTATAAAAGAATTAATTTTCTTTTCTCAATGACCTTGTTTTCTTTGTCAACACTCTTTTTATTCCTTTTTCACACACACACATATATATATATATATATATAGAAATACTGTTATTTTTCTGTTTAGTGTAAGTAAGGGTTATTGGTTTTTATATTTTAATGAATTTAGAAAAAAAATTTGGATTTAATAAATTTATTAATTTTAAAATCAGCAAAAAGAAAAAAAAAATCTAATCTAATATTAAAATTAAATCTTTTATTTAGGTTTGTATTTTAGTCATGAAAATTCTTTGAAATCCATTCAAATTCAATTAAAACTCAAACCCTTATAATATTTAAATTTTAAAATTATAAAACTAATAACATTGTATTTCATTATAGATTTTAAAATCATAAAATTAATAATACTATATTTCAATATAGATTTTAATATACAAGAACCAGTAACATTAAATTTATTTTGGATTCTCAAATTTATTAAAATACAACAATCAATAACATTGCAATGACTCATTTTGTTCTAATTTTTGGCTTTTTTCTGTTTCACAATAAATTGTGTCGTTGACTGAAAGTACGAAGCAAAAAACAAAAATAATAATTAATAACCGAAAATATTCTAAACCATAACCCGGTTCACGTTTCCGGTTATGGAGTAGTAGAACAAAGCGATGACGACGAAAGTTTCAGCCTTTTCAGTTATCAGTTTCGTGCAGAGATTTAGGAATCTTGAAAACCTAATTGAGTTTCCTTTTCTATTTGAAGCACCTTATTAAGAAAATCGAGCTGTGATCTTCATCGCTGCCGATATTCTAAATCAGTCAAATTTTAGGGGAAACGAGAAACCCTAATCTCTGGTAAGTTCTTCTCCAATTTCGTAATATCTGGGTTTTTTTCCCCTTCGAATTCCTCTCGTTTTTTTCCGATGATTTGATCTCGCGAGATTGCTAATCGAATATCTGCTTTCAATTTCATATTGTTCTTTTTGTGTGTTGATTGAATTGGTATTCTGATTTCAGAAACTCGGTTCTTAATCGCCATGGCTAATATCTCTTTCAAGTTGGAACACCCACTGGGTAAGTTATCCTTCTCCTTGTTCTTGATTCATCACCATATAAAAGAAGAAAATTTCTTGTGGGTTTTGTTAGTGATCACTAGAAAATTATGAATCTTTGATAAACCATCTTGTCACCTATAGATTTCGGTTGGATTGTAGGATCGTTCATAGAGACTTGATTAAGATTGATCAATCACATGCTTAAAATGGTTTCGCCTGATTATATGTTCTTCCTTCATCCTTTTTGGGTTTTGTAATGTCAGAGAGGAGACAAATTGAAGCTTCTCGCATCAGGGAGAAATACCCAGACAGAGTTCCAGTAATGGCTTTTAATCTCTATCTGTATCTCTCTCTGTGTATATTCTTCTTTGTAGCTTTCATCTTTAACAGAGTAAAGTATATGTTGCAGGTGATTGTAGAGAAAGCTGAGAGAAGTGATGTTCCTAACATCGACAAGAAAAAGTTAGTAGTGACATTCTTCTTTCTCTGTTCTCTCTTTTTGGAAGCTTATGAGTTCTACACATCTTTGGTTTTCTTAAGCTAAAGATAAAAGAGTGCTTTTGAACATTGTCTTGAGAACTTTGTCTTTGTGTACTATGAACATGAACCCAAGACTACAAGAATGAGATGGAAATTTTGTTGATCTGTGACTTTTTGGTTATTTGATTCAGGTACCTTGTTCCTGCTGATCTAACTGTGGGACAATTTGTGTATGTTGTTCGCAAAAGAATCAAGCTGAGTGCTGAAAAGGCAATCTTTGTCTTTGTGAAGAACACATTGCCTCCAACTGGTAAAACACAACTCTTTTTCATAAAAAACTAGTTTTTGCGCATACACTTATTTGCAAACTCGAAACGAAGATGAATGAAGGCTTTTGTTGATGGTTTTTTTGCAGCTGCTATGATGTCTGCAATCTATGAAGAGCACAAAGACGAAGATGGGTTTCTCTACATGACTTACAGTGGAGAAAACACTTTTGGTTTGGTTTAAATCTGCCTACTTTGATGTTTCTTGTACATATGGTATGGTTCTATATAACTACGAATATGCAAAAGTTCTTTTATGTTGCTTTGGACTTATCATATGTAAGTTTGGGTTTTACTTATGGACACGCAAACATGTGGCACCACCTTTCAGCTATTGATTCTCTCCTACTTACCAGTTTGATCATAACGAATAGTTCGGGGTATTTGTCAAAGTATTGATGAAAGTAGTGAACCATTTGTAAGAAAATCATAAATGCAGTCTTCTAGTAAAATAGAACATTTTATTTTCAGGAGTAAACGAGGAATTGAGCCATGTCATACATAAAACTAATAAACTTTCAATCGTGGGATGCACCATAACATACATGAAACTCAATATAAAAATAATACAATGACAGATTGAGATCTTGAGAAGAAACATATTTCAAAAAAACATTGAAGAAAAAAGGTTACAAAGCATTTTTTTCTTTTCATTTTGAAGAATTAGAGTCTTTCTTCTTCTTAGTCACAAGATTCTTCATCCACTTGAAACTTATGAAGTCAACGATCTTGCCTTTGTTAATTCCGGATTTGGTCTTGCCGGACTTCTTACCGCCGGCACCGTTGGTGTTCTCTTCCTCCGGCATCTCTCCGATCCCTCCGGTTCCCCATTGATCCGCCCAACTTGGTGCTTCACTTGTCATATCAGGGTATCTTTCCGCAAGTTAAAAGGTCTAAAATCTTAGTTCAACAATCATATTAAAATCTTCAATCAACCAAAAAATCTTTTCCATTAATTGTTGACCAAAAATGAATGATATTCATAACTAAAGAATGTAGAAGAGAAAATAATATATATATATATATACCTCTAAATGTGTGGAGGCTGGAGAGGTCTTCTTTGGAGGAGAAAGACGATTTTGATTAGCAAAATGAGTGATAATGCGGAGAATGAAGAAGACTAGTAAACTAATAGTAGATGTGTTGTTCTTATCTATAAAATATTATTTGTAAAAATTTATTATTTAGGTTGTCCTTTTTTTTGTCAGGGTTCAAATCTTTAGATTTATTAATTTGTAATTGTAATATTATATATATGGGATTTTGTCTTTGGATGCACTTAAACTAACTGAAAGTTTGTTCGTTTCCGACTTGCAAAGCAAACGTTGTTTTGGAACATTTAGGTATAAAGCATAAGATGTAGGTCGTGATTTTAAGACATTTAAAAATATGTCCCATTCCATGTGACAATATTTATTTAATGTTCTTTAAAAATTCTTGGTACCAAAAAATTAAACTTTCTTTCCACATAAAAATCCATTGAAAGCTTGAATTGTCACTATAAAATCATTAAGCGTGTACTATGTTATTAACTTCAACTCCACGTCTCACCTCTAATAATTATAACCTTTGTAAGTCTTTTAATTTATACCAAAAATAAGATATGTTATTGTCAACTTATTTAAATCGGATATATACAAAAATGACAGCTTGGAATGGAATGTCCTCCAAAACGTCTAAATTGGGTCTTATGTAACCTAAAGCAGAACACTCATGATTGCTTTATCAAAAGTTATTACCTCGAATTTTAGTTCAGAATACTAAGGAATATTGAACAAACAAATGTGTAACTAATCAATTTTTTTTTTGCTATAATAAGAAAAATATTATTTTTGGTATATAGAAAATTTATGAACACATAGTAGGCCCATAAATAATAAGAGCATGAAACACATACAATAGTTGATTTTATTTTCGTCCTTATTTTTTTTTTTTACTTTAGCTTGGTGGCATCCATTTAAAACCATGACCATGGATGAAAAAAAGAGTAAAGCATCTGAACCATATAACCATTTGAGCAAATGTAAATTGTATAGAGTACAAAAAAAATCTACAACCAGATTTTTCATCAATAATTCCTCTATATTGACTGCTTACTAATTTCAGATTATTATCTACATGAAAAAAAAGACGAGCGATTATATCGTTAATTCCTCAAATAAAATTCCTAAAGTTTCTTTTTTTTCACTTAGATCTCTTGGTAGACTTCGACCTCTTCATTTTACTATTATTACCTGCCTTATTATTACTATTACTACTTATGCTTGTCCACTTATACCCAATCGGTATAGCAAATGGATCCGGCGTTTGTTGCTCCTCCTCCTCTATCCGCCGCTGTGAGTTTTTTCCAGAGCGTCTCAGCCACGACGACGGCCGCGAAATTGAATTGCGAGCGTTTGATTTTTCGTCGTCTTCATCATCGGATTGGTCTTCACCGGAGAGGAATCTCGGGCTTGAGAGTGGTGTGTAGAATTTCTCCGCCGGTGGAAGATCGACGAACTTGGTGAATGTGATGACTACTTTGACCGTAGGGACCACCGGAATCGACAGCTGGATCCCACCAAAAGATTTTGTTTAGCAAAAGAACATAATCTAAAGATTTTGACTTGGTTTAAAGCACAATTTCCCAAAATTAGAGAGATCTTATTCTACATAGAAGCAAATAACCAATATGGGTCCCAAAAGCTTTGGTTCCCCTTGACCCATCCGTGATTTCTTTACCACGTCACCATTCTATTGACGTGGCCTACTCATAACGTTTATCTAACTAGTCAATGAGAGCATGACACGTCAGATAGTTTGACTCATTGGGTTTAACGGTCGTAATGTTTCTAGCTTAGGAAGAGCCTAAAAAGAGTAACAAACTGAAAAAGCGATTTGATTGAAATTATTAAAAGATATTTACGGGATTGCCCCTTTTGTTTACCTTAACTGGAAAAGTTCCCGGCGGGAACTTGGTGGTGAGGAGATCACGCATTCTGGCGACGGCTTTGACTTTATTGGCTAAAATGTCGAGTAACGGAAGCAGCTCCTCCGTCTTTAACGGAAATTGATCCGTTAACCAAACAGATGGATGTAAGCTCTTGACGAATTCTTTCTCTTTGATCTGAGGAGACGGAGTAGGATTCACCGGAGAAAACGTTGAAGGCACGGCCACTGACCTTCTCGGTGGCTGCAAATGAGTTACTGAGCTTCTCGGTGGCTGCAATTGAGTTACTGAGCTTCTCGGTGGCTGCAATTGAGTTACTGAGCTTCTCGGTGGTTGGAATTGCGGTGGTGGTGCGGCGGATGGATAAACATCGACGCTTTTTCTCCCAACAGAAATCCAATCTCTATCTTCTCTGACGAAGCTACTGTGCCGTCTCTGTGGCCTTGGCGGCGGCGGAGCTAAGAAATTAGGATTCTCGGCAACTAGGAACCCGTCGTCGTCCTCGTCTAGCTCTAGAGGTAGAACTTGTTCGCTTCCGGCGGAATCGCTGTCGTTAACGATTTTCCGGGATCTGAAACTGAAAGTCACTTTCTGGATTTCGTAAACCCTAGCTTTCCAATCTCCGACGCTTTCCATCTTCTCTTGCCGCCGCCAATTCATTCGCCCGACGAGCTCTGCTTTAGTGACATCCATTCCTGGACGGTACAAGCTTGATTGAGAACAGAATACGGCGATATCTGAGTCGCTAATCGGAGCTCCGGCGCTTTCAAAGGCGTCGAGGATTTTGCGGTCGTCTCGATTCAGTACAAGCAACGATCCGGGAGAAATATCGAGTGATTCGTCACCGTCGCCGAGGAAAAGGAAGCTTTGATCCGCACGCTGGATTTTCAATCCGTCAAATCCAGCTAAGGTAGTGTCAGCGCGAAGGTTTCCGTCGCGTTTCCAGATCTTGTAAGTGTCAGAGGGAGCTATTTTTCCGACGAACGGAATCACCGAGCTCTCGAAATGAAAAGAGATCTCCATGTAGAAATCTCGCATACGACGGAGAACAGCGATCAATCGCGGCAAACGCCTCCGCCATTTGCACCACGCCAAGCGGTGGTGATGCCTTAGAAGCACCTTCATGACCTCAGAATTCCGGCGACAAACCGCCTCCTGCAACGGATTCCATCCAGCGGCGTTATGGAGCGAAATGTCAGCGCCGGCGGAAGAGATCGCCCTCGCCGCGAACACATCGTCGAGCCTAACCGCTAGATGAAGAGGCGTTTCGCGGAAGGGAACGTCGCGGCGGTCAAGCACGGCGGAGATCTGATCCGCGACTCGTTCCTGGCTCAGTGAGTCGGATTCGGTTCGGATCTGCTCTGGATCTCCTAGCTTTGGCACGGTCGAAAGAAGACGAGTCAGTGAGGAGTGATCTCCCAAAACGATGGCGTAGTGAACCGGACTGTGAGCGTAATCCTCTGGGTTGATTGATGGAAGCTTCGCCGTTGAAGACGCCGAAGAAGGCCGAGCCGCCATAGTCTCCGGCGAGCGTTACTGTAAAACCACAAGGGGGATTGAAAAAAAATCTAACTGCTCAAAAAGTGTGATTCGTCTTCGTCTTCTTCGATTGAAGCTGAAGCTGAAGCGGATGTTACAGAATTTTGTGGAGAGGAATTTAATTCGTTTATGTTATTCATTTATTTATTATTATTTGTTTTTTTTTTAAAATAGGGTTTTTGGCTGTTCTCTTTATTTGGGGAGGCGTGAGGGGAGAGAGAGTCGTAATGAGGATATTTCTGGGCTTTTTGTCAGTACTCTTTTCTTTTTCTTTAATTGTTTTCTTTTGTATTCTTATTTGGGCTTTTTGTCTTTTGCACTATAGTTTGAATCTCTTTTTGAAATTTTCATATTTATTGTATTATTTTATTTGTTGGATTCTAATTGTTTCTTTTCAGCAAATTTGTACTGTAGCATAAAAAAAGTACATCATATTATGACATGTTATACAGCAAGGTACATAATGATATTTGATGATAGGTTGGAATATATTTTATTGATAATTGGTAAAAAAAATCATTATAAGTACTCAAACAAAATAATTTGAAGGTTTTAGGTATTGAAATTACAATGATGTTATATATATTCAAAAAAAATCCAGTCAAACACATTCTATACATACACTATATAGCCTATAGTATTAATATCGAGAAAATGAATGTGCGGAAGACTCTAAAATTGATAAATGACCACTATCGATCTAATCATATACTTGCATTTTAATATGACACAAGGTACGATAAGAAGGCAGATAAAGAAAAGTGAAGAAAAGAATCGCTTTGTCGTGACCAAATGCAAATTAGCAACAGAATAAAATTTATCTGCGGGAAAAAAAATACTTTGCTCCCCTTAACCGACCAATCCATTTGTCTATTAAAGTATTAATCTTCATTATTATATCGAAAATCAAGTCATAAATCTTAGAAACTGAGTCTTGATCTGATCTATTTGGTCATCTAATCTCTCGGTTCAGAAAATTTGGCAAGAAAACTGAATTTTACGCTTTTGACAGGAAAACGAAATTTTACAGTTTTAGCGAAAAAATAAATTTTTACAGTTTTTTTGTGATTTTACGGTTTTGGCAGAAAAACATAATTTTACGGTTTTAGGAAAACATAATTTTATGGTTTCTCGTGATTTTACGGTTTTGACGAAAAAGTTGAAAAAACAGAATTTTACGATTTTCTCATGAATTTATAGTTTTGGCAGAAAAACAAAATTTTACGATTTTCTCGTGGTTTTATAGTTTTGGCGGAAGACCAAAATTTTACGATTTTCTCGTGATTTTACAGTTTTGGCGGAGAAATATAATTTTACGGTTTTTTCGTGATTTTATGTTTTTGGAAGACAAACGTAATTTTACGGTTTTTGTGAAAAAATGAAATTTTATGGTTTTAGCAAAAATACAATTTATGGTTTTAGCAAAAAAATGATTTACGGTTTTGGTGAAAAGATGAAATTTGAGAAATTTCAGAATTTAGGGTTTTTATAAAATTTATTATTAAGATATATTGATACGTAATTATTTAAATTAGTTAGAATTATTTTAGACATTTATAATTTTTGGATGAAATATCTGTATATAAACTCTACTTTCATTTGCATCTGAAATATCTTGTTTTTGTGGATGAATATGATATTTGTATGCAGCTAGTGCATTCTAGTTTTTATGATTAATTGTTGCAAAATGAACAATATCTTGTAGCATCTAAATGTAGTAGCTAGATTACCAAACAAACAGGCCCATACTCAGTCTTCTTCTTCACAAGGTGAAGTCTTGATCGTTGACAAACGAGAGTCTAATGACTCGTTAAAAAGGAGTTTTGTTACTATCCCAATCTGAGATTACAAAAGCACAAATTGGGGTTACGGAGTTACATAAACAAAAGCTTGCTTGCCTTTGTCATTGTCATTTGTGAAAACTCAAAAGATTCATCGACGTAATCTAAAAACTAGCTAACAGATTATTAAACTAGAGGAGCGTAATAAAGAAGAAAGCAATAATAGGGCGTCGTCTGCTTCCGGGACTAGTACTCGACAGAATCCTTAACCTTGCTCTTTCTTTCGCTTTGGGTGATAGGCTTTCCTCCATATGATAGGCTGCTCCAACGCCATTCTGTACTTACCATTCTAAGTAAGTGTCCTGATGCGTCTTGAGGCTGCGCTATAAGAAGTTTGCAGTTTCGCCTTCTCACAAAGTGGAGAGCCTCCATGTAGGCCGAGTTTCTTGAGATGTCTTGTACGATTAGCATCAGGTTCGAACCAGGATTGTCGAGTGCCCAGCCAACAAGCTTCACCATAATCCTAACTCTCGCACTAGTCTCTCCTGAAAGCATATAACGCAGATCAAGATACACACGACAACATACAGGTTACAAAAAAAGACAGTGAGTGTTTGATAGAATATTCACCAGCGGGTACGTGAATAGGCGTGATTCCTGCGGAGCAAAACTCCCCCTGGATCTGATTCGTATCACCATAAGCACTGATTGACACCTCACCAAGATAAGCCTTATCCTTAAGAGCTGATCTGATGTTTTGAGAAATCATTTCGGGATCGAGATCATCAGGGATCGGACAATCGTCAATGTCCCAAAAGACGTCGGTCTTAGCAGCTGCGAACGGAGCACACAGTTGACTAAATTTTACACCCACAAGAGTTAAACGCTTACAGCACAAGAGAGAAGAGAAAAGTTACTGGTGATAGGGTTTCCTCCATCTGATAGGCTCGACCAATGCCATACTGAGCAGCTTGCCATGCAGAGTAGCAGTCCTGATGGGTACTCAGGAGTTGCTACGAGAAGATTGCAGTTTTCTGAATCCACGGCGACGCCCACGTCCACTGGGATGTCTTTCACGATCAGTAACAAATTCCATGGGGCAGGATCTTCCATCAAGTCTGCTATAACCTTTTTAAGTCTCGCATCTCTTTCTCCTATAAAACCCATATATATATAAAGGCGGGTTTCGATACAACCATGATTAAGTAAGTGAAAGAAAGAGTGTGTTAGAGAAGTAATGCACCTGCGGGAAAGTGATTGAGCGAGATTTCGTGGCAGCAAAAGTCATCCTTGGCATCACCAGTAGCCATGATTGAGACCCTACCTGTATAACCCGTATGCTCAAGGGCCGTTTTGATGTTCTTCGAAACATCACCAGCGTCGAGACCATAAGGGATCTTGCACTCTTTCGTGTCCCATAAAACTATCGTCTTAGCCCTCTCGTATTGATGCTCAGCTATCTTCCAAAGTTAGAAGAAAAATATGCAAAGACGATAGATGAGAGAGACGGGAGAAGTTAGGTTTGTAGGCGGCAGTAGCCCTGACAAATTTGGGAAGGGAACTCCATCTCTTCCGTATCGGTCCCGAAATTTCCGTCCTGTTCTTTTTTTTTTTAATTTAAAATAATTTTCCATTCGAAAACATATATTTTTACTTTTTTTTTAAAGATTATTTTGACCAAGATTTTAATTAGAAAATATATATTTAAGTAAATAAAAATAAAATTTGAAAATTATAATTATTGTGATGATATCTAATTATTTAATATCTAATTTTTTATAATTAGATAAATCATAATAATAAAAAGAAATTGCCACAAACAAAAACAAAAGAGTAATAGAGAAAAAGATTTTCCAGAAAAAATGAAAGAAATTACTGATGAAAAATGAATTTGCTAATTTGTGTGACCTGAAAATAATAATCACTAATCATATGTAAAAAAAAAATGATTATCATCATTATCAATACCAATCGTATTTTTTTTGTTTAGTGCAAATATGTTGTATGTTATTGTTCGGGAGTATTTTTCACGATGTTACGTAAGTTATTCGTCCGTATAATGGAGGTATGTCTATATGAGGGAAAGATGACGAGTCGTTGCAGAATGAAGCCTATCTAAGTTCTGTGGGCATTGGCGGGAACCTGTTCGAGTCCTATGAGTACTACTACACAATAGATCAGTCGGGTCTTCAGGAGGACTGAATGAAGGTTTTCCTCCTGAAAGTTCTCCGATGCCCAAATCAATGAACGTCCAACCGGGAATATATACTCAGGAGGGTGATTCTACGAGCTTAAGGTTAAACATCTCGTCCAAATATCGGAACACCTTTTTATTTAGGGAGTGTTTCAGAAGGGTTCTATTACAAAAGGAGTGATAATGAGTATAAATACATGGTTCGGGGTTAAAGAAAGATTTATTCTGTTTGGCGTTATCTGGGGGGAACAGGGTGTTCTCTTTCAGCTATGCTGTATGGTGATGCTTGGCTTCTTCGGGATGGGGTTGGATTTTTCCACCTTAGATCAAACCCTAAGGAGGTCTCCCCTTTGATCTCTACATCTTTTTTCCTGATCAGATTCTTATTCTCTCTCTCTTCTAGCTTGCTTGCCTCCTCCTTTTTCTCTTCTCCTTAGCCTTCTTTTATACAAGTCCTTTTCGACCTGTCTTATCTGTTGGGCATGCTAGAGGAGCAGATGGATTGGTGGTGCATGCTTGATTTTGAAAATTTGCTAACTGCTCGGGGACAGTGCATTAGGGAGTTGTTGGCGGAACTAGCAGGTCGTGTCAGCATTTAGGGTGGTTCGGTATCAATGTGTCGTGTTATCTTTGGCCGTGATAAAACTGGGTCCAACAGTTACCATATTTATGTATCTATATGTCATTGTGTTTAATCTTCTGCTACAGTTATGTGAATCTTATATATTATATTATTATTTGATAAGTATGTTTAATGAAAAAGTTGATATGTTAAAAAAATAAAAAATTAATGTATATTAATGTTGATATAAAAATATGACATGATAATTTTTCTAAAATAAACGAAATGTTTTGATATTTTTTTCTCAAATAGGAATAAATTCAATAATACAAGCTCGAATAAAGCATATTAACATACAATGATATGAACATTTCATAACATTTATGTATTTAGATGTCAACAGTATTTCCTTCTTTCTAATTTTAAAATTAGTGTTTTGTCTTTATATTTTTACCTAACTTGAAGTTAATCTTATTTATTTTAATTTTAATTTTCTTAATTAATATATATCATTTTATTATAATTTCTCCTTTCTTTTTTAATATTATTGTTTCAGCTTATATTTTCCTTTTTTATATTAATATTTTAGTTTATGTTTCCCTAAATTGATATTTATCTTATATATTTTTTAATATTTTTTTGTTGAAATATATTATTTTTTACTTTTGCTAAATTAAAGTTATTAATCTTATTTATTTTTATAAAGATGATGAATTTGGTGACATTAATGTATGCATACCAAAAGTACATCTGTAAATAATCTGGTTAATATGTAAACGAAATGTGAAGCTACAGAACTTAAGTAGGTCACAAAGCCACAACCTTTAGTGGCCAATTCACAAGGAAAAATGGAAAAGTATTGCTCTTGACATTGCTGCTTCTAGGCTACTAGCATTAAAGAGGCTAATGACTCGTTAAAAAGGAGTCTCAACATTACAAGTCAAATTGAAATTACAAAAGCAGAAATTGGGGTTACAGAGTTATTACATTAACGAAAACTCATCTATTGCTAGTCTTTGTCATTGTCAAAACTCAAAAGATTCATTCTACGTAATCTAAAACTAACAGATAACAAAAACAAACCTTGACGCTGCTGCATTGTTGTGGCCTTGTGGGTGTACCTTGAGGTCTAAGAAACACGTTCTCCCATGAAAATAGCCATCAACTCAGGAACCAGCTTCTCATGCTTCCTCACATACACGTTTAAGAACACAATTCTATCATTCCACAGCCTTACCAACCAATGTTTCAATATGACTTTTCTATTAATTATGGATATTGAAATACTGATATACAGTATAAAGTATAAACTGATGAATAATACATGATAATTTCAGTTTCAACAGTTCACGAAAAGAGTTTCACAAATTAGAATTTGTTATAATTCCCCATCAAGATTGCATATAGATGGATACCAGTCAAAGTTGAGATTACAGAAGATTCAACATGAATCTAAGACTAATAAAAAGCAAAATCCTTAACATCGCTCATTGTTCTAGGCATGCCTTATGAACTCTGGTGAAGATAGGCATCAGCTCAGCCACAAGCAGGTCTTTGAACATGAGAGCTTCAATAACGTAAAGAGCCAAAAAAAAAAGGCTTTACATGATCAACAAATCTCGGTTCAAACTGTTTCCTCACTAAGAGTTTGTTCTGCGTCAAGAGATTCACACTCACGTTCCCGTCAAGAGAACAAACAAACAAACTCTGCTGAATTCTTCAAAGATGCAAAGGAACTTAACATAGTTTTGGTGCACCATTGTAATCTTTTAGACTACTACCACTGGAACCATATCTTATATATACTTCACAGATCCCATATGCCTATATCAAAAACCATACACAAGAAAACAAAACGCACCTGTTAGATTTAGCTCTACAAGATATCTCGGTGTACTGAATCAGGTTCATGCCTGCTTTCACCTGCCAAGTGGATTTAGAATCTCAGTTTCTCTCAGAGAGAAATCATAATCAAAAATAACATTTCTTGTCAGAAGATGAAAGGAACTCTAAAGTACTACACTTCTATTGAAGTGAAGAATAGATGATCAAAATCACAGAACAGTTCAAAGGGGTTATAAGTTATTTTCCAAAAAGGGATTTTCATATAGAAAAGAAACGGTTCGAATCTGGGGATTACAAAAGTCTATAAAATTTGAGGTTTTTCATCAAGATCCTTGACAAGCCTTCCCTTCTGGTCTATGAGGCACACGATCTCTGTTGAAGATAGCCATTAGCTCAGCCACAAGCTCCTTGTCATCGTGCTTCAACACATACCTTTTTAAAAACGTCTCATCAGTCCTCGACAAAACAGACGACATCGAAGGTAGTTTGCTTCCTCTTTCTCCGAGCAAGCCTTTGGACATGAGAGCCTTGATAACGTTACACCTTGGCACAATCCTCTCCTCCATGCTGTATCCAAGCACATGAGGATACGTAACCAGGGCCTTTAGTGGCCAAATCATCTGCTTCACCAAAAAATCAGTCTTCTTCTTCACCGTCTCTGCAGTTAGTTCGACGCACTGAGGAAAACGCTTGACCATTATCGCAAACTCATCCCTGCTGAACCCTAGACCTTCAAGTGTTTCCATGGAGTTCAACACCTTCTTCTCCGATAAATTCAGAAAGGAAGGCCATTTCTTGAACATTGCCCATACATCTTCCACATCAAAGCCTAACCTTACATAGAGACTGACCTTTTCTTCAATCGTTTTGTCGCTCATTTGGTAAACAGAGCGCAGAGCATCCACAAACCTTGAGCTTGTTGGATCAAAACCCATGTCAACAACCTTCTTGAGTGATTCTTCAAATCTTTCTTTCCCACAGCAGACACGGTTCTTGGTGATGATCATAGGGAGTAACAGCTTCAGAGGCACCCCCAAGTCTCTCAAAACCGACACGTTTCTCAGTTTATTAGCCTGTGGCAAAGACTGACCTGACTTTTCGTAGCCTTTCGAACACTTATCAGCTTCTATGATGTCTTTGGCGAAGTCGTAGTGTCTGCTGATTGCTTTCTGCCATTTCATTGCCAAGATCTTAGGAACTTTCGAGAGAATCTCAGTGAGCTCAGAGCTTGAAGCTCCTCTGGACTGCAAAAACCGAAGCTTTGGACCAAGTGAGTTCTCAGCATCTAATATAAGCAATCCTGGGTAAGCCCTTATGATGCTTGAGACCTGAGATTCTGTGAACCCGTGACTTCTCAAAAGACTCAGAACGGAATCTGGATTGCCCTTGTCATCGAAGCTGACTTTCATCGAGATCGATTCTGCGAGTTTTGTATCTAAACCCAGTGACTTAACGAGGTACGAGACTGTAAAGCTCTTACCTTTTCCACCATCTCTGAGGCTCAAATCTGCAGCACCACTAGCAGAGGAGAAGGAACTGGAAAAAGAAGATGGGTTTTGCGAAAGCTTCACTGAAAAACCCAAATCACGCCATTTCTGTAACTTGACCAGCCTGTTTCCATGGAAGATCGGAGAATACATGGCGACACAAATGCAATTGCGATAGCCGTACGAAGGTTTTAAGAATCAAATCACGAAGAACCAAAACTGGGGAGGCAACGAAAAAAAAAAAGAGATACGATTTTTAAGGTTCATAGGCAAAGCGCCTGTTTTCGATTCACATCTTCAATGGAAACAAAAAAAAAAAAAAAAAGGGTAAAAGACAATAGCTGACGAACCGGACCCGAACCGACGCATAATACTGGATTCGGTTCGAATTTATTTAGCTAATAATATAATCTGAACGGTTCTTCTTCAAATTTACTTTAATTTTCGATTCGATCAATTCGGTTTGGATAATACTTAAGAACCGAACGGATAGCTTAAAAACCCAAAATTAATTATCAAATTATTACTAATTACATTATCATATACAGGATTCATAGAGTTTATAGTTTGTATAAGATTAAATTATTTAAATCTTTCAGACTATTTTTCGGTTTAGTTGGATAATTATCTGGAGTTTTCTAGTAATTCAGATTATTTTCAAAATTGAATTATTTTCGGTCCTAGTTCTGATTTCAAATTCCAGAACCGATTCGAATCCGAAAAGACTCGAACTGATCCGAACCAAAAAAATTCCCGGCCCGATTGAATCCAAAACAGCCAAACCTCGAAAACCCAAACCAGAGAGACCCAATCGGAACCGATCGACAAACCAAAATGCCCAAGGTAAGCCTAAATCGTAATTGAGAATACAAAATATAATTAGTTTAAAATAAATAGTGTTCCCTTTTATTTACTTGAAAAGTTTCAGCCGAGGAGTAAATGGATAAACAGATACTAACTAAACCCATAACCATCCTCTACATACCAAAAGAGACCACAACGATGGAGGGATTTCACTTCCAAGCAAGCCACGTCACACCTCGGGAGACTATCCTCTTCGAAACCAAAGCCTTTATCGGCCAATTCATCTCCTTCACCAGAAACTCAGTCTTGTTCTTCACCGACTCTTCAGAGTATCCAATGCACTGAGGAAAGCGTCAGAGAGTATTGTTCGAGAAAACGAATCCTCCATAGGCTTTGATGAGAAAGAGAAACAATAAACTCTCTCTTCTGCAAACGGCATACATCTTCTCCGTTTATTTACTTGCCGCCGAACTCAAAATAGCAAAAATCCCAAATATGGGGATGATTTAAGGGTTTTACGTTTATGATTTCGTTCACTTCCCACGACTGCTAGGGTTTAGTTCTGCTTTAATTGGCTCAGTTAAGGACGAACGACAGTTCCTTATATATAATATTTTTTTAATCTTTGTGCTACAGCGGATCTGGTTGCCATTAGCTAAGTAAAACTTTTTTTATATACCTTACGTAAATTCAAGTAGGCCTTTACACCTTCGGGCTTGAAAGTATATATTATTAGCAAATACCCATTATTTAAAAAATATTTGATTATTATTTTTTCATAAAAAGCTTTAATCCATAAACAATGCACAAAGCCATGTGTTCAACCTTCTCGGGGGATTCTTCAAATCTTCTCAAAATCGATATATTTCTGATACTGTATTCTCTAGCTTACCCAGTGACAAAGATTGACATGACTTTTTCGAACTCGGAGCTCTGATCAGTTATAATATTCGATGATAGTTATGTTCTTCTTAATTGAATCCCAAGATTTTAGGAACTTTTGAAACAATTTCAATGATCTTAGAGCTTGAAACTCCACTGGATTGCAGAAGCATAAACTTACAAAATATGTTATTTATATGGTTTTTGTGACAAAATCCCCAAAACTTATTTTTTTTTTACTTTATCCATTATACAATTTATTTTAAAATATATTTGTTTCCATCTAATTTTGATTAACAGTTAAAAAGAAACACACAAAGGTTACATGAATGGAAGCTTACATGAATGGAAGCTTGAATGTGCAACAACATGGATGCATGAATTAAAGAGAACAGATCGAGCCGAACCCTAAACTTCTCTCTCCAAGAGTCATCACATTGCTTCTTTAGTTTCGGGCTCGGTGGCTCTCTCAACACTGGAGCTGGGTTCATATTTGATTTCTTTTGCGTTCTTCTTTGTCTAAACCATTGGGTCCTTTTATCAAATTCGATTTTTGGGGTTTTGATTTGTAGATGTAGTTTGATTTAGGCATAAACATGGTTTGTGGTGTCAGATCGCTTTAATTTTCGGTTTAACATTTTCTAAATGCTTTTGATTTTTTTTTTTTTTTTTTTTTTGTTCTAGATCAACTTTTTAGATCTGATTTCTGGCGGTTTTTCTGTTTTCGGATTATCGTGATTTCTTTGCTTGTTTCATTGGAAACATATTCAGTTTGTCTCCAGTTCGATCTATCACTTTTCTCTTTGGAGATTCGATGCTACATAGTTTGGATCATCCACTCCCCAACTCTGCTTTACTGATCTGATTGGAAAGTTCAAGTTTGATCAAAGAAGAGATCTATCTATATTATGAGAATTGTTGTCATGTTATCGTCAAAAGTATAAAAAGTCCATCTACTATTGTGGATACGAGAACATTTTTTATTGACTTTTTCATTGACATTTTCAAATTTCGGAACAAGATTGTTTTGGTATCGACAATATATCATCAAGAAAATCCCTCTTTATTAATTTGTTGGGAAAGATCATTGATTTCTCTATGTATTTATCTGACAGATCTATTTTATATTGTAATCATTCGGAACAAAAATTAATAAAACAAAAAGTTTTTAAAAAAAATTAAAGACAACAAAATTTTCCTTCTTCACTTGTTCAAGAACCTTGACAATTTCCAATATTAATTATGAAAGTAAGATTATGGAAGTGAACCTCAGCAAAAATGGGCTCCAATACTTTCAGTTTAATACATCGTAGATTAGTGAATTCATAAATCATAACGTAATTTCAACTAATGACAGTCTAGTTCAAAGAAGAAGATGATAACAAAAGAAAAAGAGATGATACACCAAAGAAACAAGATATTATAAAATAGGCTAATGTGTATACTCTCTTCCGTGTCAGATTGGTTGATTTTGCACTGAGCTTGGAATATAATAAGGGCACACGCACCTACAGCAAGACTCAACTCCAAGATCAACTTCTTTGAAGCATCCATACACCCCAACGATGCAACCAAAAGTTTTGCTGGTCGGTTCATGTGTGTGTAAATCACAAAGCATTGCCACTTTCTTCTCCTCGTCAACGAAAAAACTCCAAGATTGAACCCAAAATCTACTTATTCTTTCCAGATCAAAGGCTAAGAACTTGTTCCATGAAACCGACTCCGGGTTAGGTTCAATCTTAGTCGTAATCCATATCTCTATCTTATATCTGCTTTTGCGATGACGCAACACCGCAAGCTTCTCTTCTCTAACAGTCGATAGAGTCACATTGTCATTAGGATTTAGGCGACAGGGTAGATGCAGAGGCGGTAAAACTCCCTCTCTTGTAAAATCAAGACATAGTAAAATCGTATCATAATCATTGATTAATGTTTCGTAAGCAACAACGTAACTTCCTTTCAATGACACGCCCCCTCCTTGATACCGACCTATAGTCAACGAGGAGGCTCTAAGAACCCTCCATGAATTATATTTAAAATCGTAGATTTCGTGCTTTATATTGCACACATCATAGAAACACCTCAAGATTTTGTGGTTGCTTTCGCTGTCGTATCCGAGACAATACACATCCCTTACAAAATGTAATGTTCTTTGGAGAGTGATGCTTGGTTTGATCCACGTGGTTTGACACAAATACGGGTTCCAAACCACGAGCCTAGTAGTGTTGTTGTCCTCCTCGGCAAGGCATAACAATAAGCCGTTACAGTGATAGGCATCAGCTATCTTGACGTGTTTAAGTTCACCTATACGCTTTATAGGGTTGATTCCATGGAGACTTGCACTCATTAAACAAAGCTTAGAAGCAATCTTCATGATCACTGCTTCACCACGATGCTTCTTTGTAAAGCTCGGATCTTTGGATATACCGTTCCATCGTTTGCTAGTGGTTCTCACTGCTCTCAGAGATGTTATTGGAACCCTAGAGACAGGCCCGGCTCATAAAATTAATGGACTTTGTGCAATATTTATTTTCTTTAACTAAAATTAACAGAATTTACAAAATAATGGCCCTAAAATTTTTCAAAATGGGCTTTAAATTCTTACCAAATTCTATAAAAATTTATGTGGACCCTGTGCTAATGCACCTCAAGCACATGCCTAAAACCGGGCTTGCCTAAAGTATCTCCTCTACCAAATCATGCGGAAGATCGGATATCATCGTCATTAGGGTTTTCAAGTTTCTGACCTTGTAAAAGAAATTTAGGGTTTCTTAATTGTCACGCTTGCCCACTCTTTTAAATATATATATATATATATATATGTGGTTTCTTAAAATTATTCAGAAATAAGAAAAATGAAAAGAAAAGATTAGATTTGTTGCTACGATACAAAATTAATAGAATGGAAAATTTCTGTATTGCTTTGTTTCTTTAAAAACAGAGCAAGCACATTATAAAGATCTTTGTCATAATCCAATATCAACAAGAGAAAACACAAAAGATACATTTATGTAATTTAGAAGAACAAAGAAATAGTTCAGAGTGATTTAATCATCTTCTGAAGTTCCACTGGTGAAAATAGACATCAATTCAAAGAGAAGCTGCTTGCCATCATGGTTCCTCACATATTTGACTAAGAAAGCTTCATCTGTAATCGGCAACACAACCAACATGAGAGCTTTGATAACGTTACACCTTGGTACAATCCTCTTCTCCAGGCTTTGATAACGATTTTTAAGGTTCATAGGCAAAAGAAAACCCCTGATTTCGATTTTGTACATGATTCTTCATTGGAAAAAAAAACTAAAAAGTCAATATAGCCTAACCGAACCGACTCAAAAATACTTGATTCGGTTCGAATTTATTTAGCCAATATAATCTGAACGGTTCTTTTTCAAATTTACTTTAATTTTCGATTGG